ATACGAATAGTAGTATTGTATGATTGAGCAAAGACGTATCGTATGATACGTTAAATTAGCAAACACGTGTGTATGGTGAGTAATACGAATAGTAGTATTGTATGATTGAGCAAAGACGTATCGTATGATACGTTAAATTAGCAAACACGTGTGTATGGTGAGTAATACGAATAGTAGTATTGTATGATTGAGCAAAGACGTATCGTATGATACGTTAAATTAGCAAACACGTGTGTATGGTGAGTAATACGAATAGTAGTATTGTATGATTGAGCAAAGACGTATCGTATGATACGTTAAATTAGCAAACACGTGTGTATGGTTGGTGAGGTCACAACTACGTATAGAGTAATATATAGTGTATAGTATGCAAATGCATATAAAATTTATGCAGATATAACATTAAAGAAAATTAGACTTTGGGTTTTTAAACTTATAATATCGGGTCCAAAAACTTAATAGGTTGAGTTTATAACGTTATATTGATAGTTTAAAAGCCCGAAGTCTAATAGGTCGTTAAATAGCAAATGTAATGATTGTAACGATGATTTTTTTTCCCTTTTCAAAAAATAAAAAAAAAAATCGATTTTAAAAATGTTTAAAAATTCACCCGATATAGAAAATTCAGAAATATTTCTTACAAAAAACTTGACCGTTAAAGAAATAATCCATTCATTAACTCCAATTGAATATCCACGAACAAGTAAAGAAGGAATTGCTATAGTTTATCATATCGACGGGTGGGAAAGTGCAGATTCAACGTTTGCAGATGTAATATTTTTATTATAAATATCGTATATAATTAATTTATATTATAAGTAATACATATGTATTTCATATTTTATACCATCGTTTTTTAGGTCTAATATTCTATGGGCAAACCATGTGGTCAAAACCAGGCGACTTGCTATTATCTTGGTGACATCGTTGTAACAAAGAAAGAAAGAACGTGTCAAGGAATTAAGTTGTGCGAATTTGCGAATTCAGAACTTCAAGAAATGCAACATAAATCGGTAGATCCTGATTCAGAGTTACAATTGAAGTTAAATAATGAATTGTCAACCAACAATATAAAAAACAATACGTTTGCGTAAGAGTCTCAAATTTTTTTTATAGTATTATATACTGTATAGCATGAACTATAATATCCTCCTATATCAAGTAACCCCCTCAAAAAATTATATGGTGGAATATAACATACCCAGGGTATTATAGTCCGTGCTGTACAGTATATATATATATATAATTAATTATATATTTTTATTATTTAGTGTATACTTAGCCGCATATAAAACAAAGTGTTATTTTAAGAAAGACAAGGAACAATGTACAGGAACACCTGTATTAAAATGTTTACACCGTCATGATAACACAATGTCGCCATCCTATTTTATTGGTTGCTCAAATTGGCGTAATCAAGAAAAATTTCATCGCTTTATTAATATTAAAGACAATGTAGATCTTGATTTGCTTCGACAACTTTTCGATAGATCATATGAGGTAAAAAGCCATACAACCAAAAATCCAGTAGATCAACCTATTATGATTCTGGGTTTTAGTGATTTACATTTTGGTTGCCTATTCAATACGTAAAAATTTGAAGATTTCCCCAAAACCCAGAATCTGGGTCTGGCTGCATCTGATTATTATTTTATTTGCTGTAATTAGGGTGAATCTGAAGAACCAATAAATAATTGTTTTACGGTTTTACATAATAGTTCGAAAAAAACTCATTGTCGTAAGTTACTACGTAATACATACATAACTATTAAATAATATGTACCGGTATATGTAAAATCTTAAATAATTATAATTCGTATATAATTTTTTTTTTAATATACATATGTAGCACATCCGCATCATGCAGGCAATACTATTAAGCAAGGACTAATAATTCGAAAAACCTGTAATGTGAAATACTATATATTGATACCACATGATCTAAAAACATGCCCATATGTAATTCTTGTATCAAAAGGTATTCATTTGCATCCACCGCCTCCACCTAATCGGGTACCACTTGCTATTAAAATGCGTTTACAAGAATTAATCCGCCAAGCTGATGATAATACAACTGATATTACACCAACTCAGATTTTAACTGGTATATATATTAATTAAATTTTTTTTAAAAAAGATTAATTTTAAAATTATATTGATTAATTTATTTTTAGGAAATTTAATTAAAACTTATTTTGGAAGTGAATGCCTTGCAAATATACATGCATCATTAAATAATGCAGATCATCTATGATATTATGTAGACCGAATTCAAAAAGAAATTCATCCACAAGGACAAGGTCTTCTTGGAGTTGTTTATAACTATTCACGCAATATTAATAATATTCGTGATTATATAAAACGATTAGGTAATATTAAATAACATATACATATATATTAAATTTAATTAAAATTTTAAGTTTGTTTTTTTTAGAATTTTTTGAAGATGACCACATGATCGTAGTCTGTACAACTTTCGAACAACTATCAGAATGGTTGAAATGTGAATATTTTCAAATTGATTTATCATTCAAACAGGTCGCTGGTGAAATCAACGAATTTGAGATTAGTAATTATGATACGAGACATAATTTACGTAAGTTAATTGATAATAATCATAAAATATAAAAAAATAAATATATAGGTATATTAATCTATACAATTTATTAATACTGTATATTAATTTTTTATTAAGTTCTTACCTATATTAGAGTTTTCACTAATCAAGCTACGACGATCGCATACCGAAGAATTTTTCGTGCATTGTTTGATCTTGTATCACAATTAACTGGCTTGTCCCTCAATTTAAACATATTCACGGAACCGGTTGGAGATGCATTATAGCTGATTTAGACTATGCACAGGCAAAAGGTCTTGGACTCGTTTTGAATGAAATTGATCAAACAAAAGATTGGGAGGAGCATTTAACTTATATTTTAAAATCCTGTCAAATACATTATAAGAGGTAAATATATTAGTAAAAAAAATTCGATGTGTGCATATGCGCTTCAAACATAAAAACTTTTTTTGTATACCAAAAAATATTCAGATGCATGTACGTATGTACGTACATACGTACGTACGTATGTGCAAAATATAGTATATATACAATATGCGCACAAAATTTTATTGGTATAACCAAATATATAGCATGTATACTTTGCACACTAAATTTAATTTTTTTTACATCGAAGTATATAATTTATAATTTTTATAAATTTATAAAGAAAAATTATGGAAAAAAAATATGATGATAATATAACTAATAACATGCTCGCATTGCTTACGGTTAAATCGGAAGATGAAATTAATCGATTGTTCAATAAGATTCAAGAAATAGAATATTTGACAGGTTAGTAAATTTTATAATTTTTAAGTAAACAATTTATAATATACATATTAAAAAATATATATATTTATATATTATTAGATTGGGTTTTATTTTATCGCCAGAAATGGGTTATCGCCTCTCTTAATAACTGCGTATCACAAATCGATGATAGGATTTGGAAATCATCTCCTAATAATACAAATGTTGTTGAAGCCGCTCATGCTTTAAGTAATCGACGTGGGAAAAATTTAAAATTAATGAACGCTATTTTACAGTAATTTTATTTTTAAACTATTTTAAATTATTATATTTAGTATTATTGATATTAACTTGTTTTGCAGAGGGCGTAAATTGGATAAAGAAAAATTTACAGCAATTCATACTCATCGACAATATAATATACCAAGTCATGGACGTGACAAAAGCTTAGTTAGTCGTAATGTTCTATCAAATAAGCGCAGAGGTAAACAAATCATTTAATTATAAATAATTGATTTTTTTTTATTTTTATTTCATTTTTTTTTAAACCATTAGCAAAAGTTTCAAAAAAACCCATTAAAAATAAAAAAAAAAAAACTGCAAAAACTAAGAAAAAATCCGAAGTAATCACTATTAATTCTGAGGATTCAAGTGAAAATGATTGTAAGGAAAGCTCAAGCATTAATAAACTTGAATATCAAGAACGAATTTTAGCAATAAAAGAACGTGAGCTAGCCTTAAGAGAACGTGAAGCCAAGGTTCATTCAATTGAATTAGAGAATCTGGAAAAAGAGCAAAAATTAAAGTCTGCAAGTTAAAGCCCGCAAATTTTCTGGTGTAATAATTCGAATTGGTAAAAAGTTCATAATTGATTAGTTGGAACAAGCTTTGTAAATCAGTTGCTATTAGTTGTTACATATTTTTAATTAACATTATTGGCTAGCTATACTGTATCAATTTTAATTGAAAAGAATTTTTTTTTTAAATGGATAATTATTCAACAAATAGTTCGAAAATTTTAGTTCGATAAATCAATTTTGATTCGTATTATGAAGCACGATGCTTATGTCACTATCTCAAGATATTCAAAAATATTCCCAAAGAACTTGATAAAACCCGCATAATTGCATATGGAAAAAAATTTTGAAATTAATTTTTATATCATTATAATAAATTAGGGGTGTATGTAATGTACAAGTTTGTAAAATCCTTGATTTTGTGAGAGCAATGCATACAATCCCGTAAAAATCTTGACTTTATCTAAATTTTTTTGGTGCCGTCTCATATCGGTATATGTTTATTACAACGATAGATTTCAATAGAATTTTCGTGAAGTCGTATATAATAATTAAATTCTTTACACTATACTATTTTATATATAATATATTACGAGTATAGTATGCTAGTTTTATATACTCAAATGTGATTTAACGTATCATACGATACGTCTTTGCTCCATCATACAATACTACTATTCGTAATACCGGTTTAAACTACATATCATATAAATTTCATACAAATTAACTGAGATGTTAAAAAGTTTAATCAGAAGCATTTTTTTATTTACTATGTAAAAATTCAATGTACCATGCAGATCATATGAAAAATGATCTACGTACACCCTACCCTTAATGTGACTAATTTAATAAATCTGCACATATGAATCTGGCCAAAAGGATATGCTTCTACGCGGCGGTCAGGACAAGTAAGATTGATAGCTGAAACTAAATATCCTGTGTTCATCGATATTAATAAATTTTATGATGGTTATAAAAAAATATATAACTTATATCATATTGTCGGGCATGGGCGTTATTTAGAATAATGGCTCAAATTAAGCTTAATTTAGGCCAAAATTCATAATTTCACCCCTGCGCGTTATTTTACGATAAGGTAGAAAAATGTTTTTTTAATAATCAAAAATATATAACAAAGTTAATAGTACCCATTTTTAAGTTACTGGTTGATGATATTGAACTAGAATACATTTATTGAATTGGTTTGACTACATGGTGGGTTTTTTAAACACCATCTTACGAATAAAACATCAAAGTATATACTTAAAATTCTAAAAATATATAAATATAAATTTTAATTTTTTAACTTTTTACGCGATTTTTTTCTTTTATTTTTAGTCTTTTTTGCTTCTTGATTTACAATATTTGCAGCAGTTTCAGTCAATTTTCTTTTTTTCGTGGAATTTGGATTTTTAACACTAACAACTGTTAAGTTCGATTTCTTTCCTAAAGTTAATGCTTTTATTTGCGATTCTGCTGCCTCCCAATCTTCTGTTGATCCGCCTATCGTATATCTATAAAGATAATAACAAATCAAATCAATTGAAGATAACTTAAATATAATAAAAATATTTAAGCATTAAAAAAAAAAAAAAAAAAACAAAAAACAAAAAAAAACCAAGAATCACTTTGACAAGTCCAATGAGTCAATCAATTCTCTTTGTTTTTCTCTTATTTGCTTCATAGCCTCATCACCAGCTTCATCTAAATCTTCGTTTAGAGACTTCGATACAGGATCCCATGCAGTATCGTTATTGATTTGAGGACTCGTTATATTAATACTTTTTTCTATTGAATCGATGGAAGTGGTGGCTACTTTTTTCTTTACTACAGTAGTTTCATGTGGAATTTCTTTTTGAATTTCAGATATTTCCAAAGATCGAAAATATGCAGAAAATTTACGAATAATTTTCATAAATAATGCAAGAACTTGCGCTGAGGGAAGTGTAAGCTCTTTCTAAAGAATATAAAAGTAGAGTAAGAATAATATTACATGCGCCATGATACTGATCATCTTAGACATCATCTTAGAAATCATAAAAATAAAATACCTCCAAATCATCTATGCTCTTTTTTTGTAAACCTATACCCAATAATATCGAGCACTGCACGCCAGAAAGTACCACATTTATGCTAAATCGTTTCTCAAAGTATAAATAAGCAATTGCAGGAACAAGATCCATTATTACATGATAATCCAACATATTATTTGAATAAGATTCAAGACGCTTAAGATCATAAACAGAAAATTGCGAATCGAGAATATCTTTTGTGAATTCTGATATAAATCAATGATCACAAATTGGATCGTTAGATATATAAATATGTTTTTAGAAAAGTTATAAATATTGATAACTTACTCTGTTCATTATGATTTGCATTTTTATAACCAGCATCAGCAGTTTCCATAATACTCAATGATAAAACGCTAGGAAACTCCCTAAATTGATAGGACAACAAATTCAAAAATCTTTTATGAAAATCTCTTGAAAATGCAGCCAACCATTCTTGATTGCATGTGGTTACAAGGCCATCAGATTTTAAAGCCTTGAGCATAACACACGTATGTTCACCAGTTAACTCATTTGGAGTTTGTCGCAAATAAAGTGGAATAAACCCAGATCGTTTCCAGAATTTATTCAATAATGGTGTCAAACCATAAGAAACACCAAGATAATGTAATAGAACTGGTCGTTTCTCTGAAAGTTTTAATAGTAATGGTGGCATTTTGTGAGGATCTCGAATTTTAATTTCATCTTTATGAAGATCTGCATTCTGTGATTATGACATGTTAAATTAGCCAACAATCTTGATAAAATGATAATAATAAAATAAAATTATATATACATACTTCTAATTCCGAGTCATTAACTCTCACCATAGTTTCTTCTGCGTAATCTTCATTTTCTTTCAAAGTAGAGAATTCACCTTGGTAAAATGAATTCAACAATTCAAGACATCGTGATCCATAACCCATCTTCAGGAAAAAAAAAAAAGGAAATTAAAAAATAGATGTTGATAGTCTGCATAATATTATATGGTTGTAATTTAAAATCAAACATACCTTCATATAATCAGGATGTGTTGCTATTCTCACTATCCTTGCTCCAGAAAGACTAGCAAAGTCATCATCTTGGAACTGGAGACAAGTTACAAATTGTAAATAATATTATTGCATCATTTATATCTATTATTTACTAAAAAAATTGTCTGACTTAACCTGCTGTGAAATTAACCACGGGATTAAGTCCCCGCTAGCTCTTCTACCACGCTTCAAGCTATTCATTACTGCTTGTTTGGATATATCGCCTTCTAAACAAACCTACAATATTATTATTATTATTTAATATTTGTGTAGGCAAGAGAGAGACATATATGGTATCCTCTGATATTACATTAATAATAATTAGCAAATCATAATCTCTGAAAGAGATCAAATATACAATAACTCTTATTACATAATATATAACTCTTCCAAAATAACTATATACATGCTTACCTGAACAACGCATAAAGGGTCCGGCAACGAATTATCGCCTTTTATTGGGGGTAGCAAAACGAACAAATGATGTGCTGGAGCATCTGACAGCAGTTGTAAATCATTTGGTGAATTCTTATAATGACTAGCAACATAAAGTGCCATCATTCTTTGTAAAAATAATTCCGAGACGGGATGAAACGAAAATAAGGTATCACGATTTACCCAATATAGTTCACATTGTTGCGGATGTGGACACCCTTGAATGTTTTTTGAGACAATGGTCGCATCTAGACATAAAAGTTTATTTAACCATCGTTCTACAGGATCATTAGATCCGTAACGAATAGGTTCTTCAAGTTTAATTTCTCTGAGAACTCTGCCACCCGTTAATGCACCATTGAATGAAGTAAGTGTATTTTTTTTGTTCTTGCCATTCCGATTAATTATCACCATACCATCATCAGGTTCTGCATGATTTTCTTGGCCAACAAACCCCTTTGATTGTTCTCGAAGTTGTTGAATAAGTTTGAGAGATAAAGATCGACCTGTACCTTCATAACCATTTATAGTTGATGCCATAAATACCAAATAGGGACCAATAAGATTTTTCACCAATGGTAATGGAATGGCAGCAGCTTCATCAATGATTAATAATTCAGCTTGTCCAAGAACATTTGCATCTTGTGGTTGTATATACTAAGATGAAAAAAGGCATCAATACAAAGTACAAAACAAAAATTATGCAGTAAAATGACAAAGTACACACTTGAATAGTCTGCCGATGCTGTTTAAAGACATTAACTCTAACTATGGCTTTATTAAAATCAGGATTTGTAGATTGTATAATATCATAATCTAGGTGCTCCTCATACTCCAAAGCATCAAATCCTTTAAAAATAAATTCAAATAATGTCTTCAAATTTTCAGGACTAGGGGATGTAACAAATATGTTTGAATAACCGAATGCAACAGCAGCAGCAATTGCAATTCCAAGTGCTGCAGATTTACCACGACCACGAGCAGCTGTAAGTGTTACTGTGCTACGCAATTTCTTTTCAGATATAGCTTCAATAAAAGTATGGATAGCTTTTCCTTGATCTAATGTTTTAGCTGTGGCAACAAGTAAACCAATAGGCTGTGTATCTGCCAATGAGGCCTTAAATTCTTTTAATTCAATCTGTTTATCAGACATAGATTCCTCAGATGACTTTAATTGCAATGGTTTCACATTTTTTCCAGCAGATATCGGCAACACATTTAATTCATCGTCAACTACCAGACAATTTTCACATGACCCAAGGGAAAGAATGAAACGTTCATTAAATCGGGCAATAACATCATCATGAGCTTCAGTCCGATAACGAGAATGTACATCCTTTATAAACAACACCATTTGTTAATAGCTAAAGTAACTTAATTAAAATATTAGTGCTAATACGAACCATTGTCAATGTATATAACTGTTTTAATGACTTCATAGTCTTGAGCAATAATACAACAACACCGCCACCCTCCACAGTCTCAATTGTACGCGCCAACAAGTTTGGTGTCAATGCTTCAAAATCCTATAGAATTATTTATAATGAGACAAATATATGATATGATCAAAACAAAATTAAAATTCATTAAAACCGTACCTGCAATATACACATGCCATATGTATTACCCAGGATATTATGCGTCTCCTTATAATATGTGTATCGAATATTTGTAACAGCAATGAAAAGTTCGAATGGATCTTCTTCATTAGCCTCCCTTATGCCACGTTTAATCTCCTTTCGTATTTTTGCTTCTCTCTTTTTACGATGGCTGTTATTGTTTAATTTACAGAATTAATTATTTTATATTTCAAAATGAAATAAATAAAAATTACACATACCTGGTAAACCCTAATTCTCTTTTATAACACCATAATACAGATGGCCTTGCAGTCACTTGGGCTTGTGAAAGCATCCAATGCAAATTCACCACCTGTTATTTATTACCGATTTGTTTTAATAATTAAAAAAAAAAAAAAATTAATCTAATATGATTTTATACCTGATCTTTGCCTTTATCTCCAACAATTACAAAAAATGATCTATGTTTATTCTGAACACCATTTTTTATCAATGTCGGAATTCTTGAATCGACAACCTTCTTAAACATGTTAAAAGGTTAACCACGTTACTGATCAACGATAAAAAAAAATTTATTTAATAGTCACCAAAGTTTGATTTCATTGGCTGGTTGTCAGCTAAGATTGGCAATCATATACTGTTTAACAATAATATGGCAATCAACGATGATTATCGTTATTTTTTTTTGTTCCTATAGCCATTAGCTTTTTTTCATTTTTATTTTTTATTTTTTTTAGATTTCATTACTGTTAAGGCTGTTAGTTCTCGTCAATTCGGTGTCATGTAAACCTGTCATTTTTGGTGTCGGTAAATTCGATATGCCATATAATTTTTGAGTGATTGACAGATATGTTTAGGTTTGAGAAAATAGAAATAGCATTAGCATCTGCATTTTGCAAAAACAACATGCTAACTTCTTGGAACATTGGTTATAATAATCTAGAACCGGAAAGTAAAGTTAGCAGATACGCTTTGCAATAACATTGCAGTGCTTTTTTTGAATGTTAATCAATAGGAAGAAAGCAGTATGCATATATACCTTGCAACAACACAGCATTTATTTTTTTGATTTTGGATCAGAAGAAAAAGAAATATACAACACCGTAGAGTTCGGATCCGCGAATGTTCACGGATAAAATGAATATTCAATTAGCGTTAATGAAATTATATTATGAATATCTGTATGAATATTCTCTGTAAATACAGAAATATCCATGTAAAATATCTGTGAATATTCTGCATGAATATTTCTGTGCGAATATCCGTGTAAATATCTGTGTGAATATTCTGTGCGAATAGTTGATAAATATGAGAAATTATCTGAATATCCGCGAATTCTCTATGAATGCACGCGAATTCTTTATGAATATACGCGAATTCTCTGAATATCCGCAAATTTCTATGAATATCTGCGAATTCCCTGAATATTCGCGAATTCTCTATGAATATCCATGTAAAATGTTTATATTCATTCATTATTTATTATTCGCGAATTAAAATCCGTGAATATTCATTAAATAGCTGTGATGGATATTCAAAGGATCCCAACTCTACAGCACTGTGTTGGTTTGTTGGATCTTGAATAGAATGAAAAATATTAACTAATGCATTTTGCAATTATGCTTTGTTGATTTTTTTAAATCTTGGATTAGAAGAAAGAAAAACATTAGTTGATACACTTGTAACAACATCATATAGATATTTTTATATCTTGAATAGAAGAAAAAACATTATAGTCAGACCCCTAAATGCACAATAATTGACTGCCCCATGTTGGGCCTTATAGATAAATACACATTCTTCATTATTAATAATTATCATATTTTGTTTTTAAAATATTAATTTTTATACTAATATTAGCTTAGAGCATATTTTAATATTTTTTATATATTATTAGCTTGGTTTAATACAAATTAATATTGTTATACAGTTTACTATTTCAAGTTACATGTTTGCTGCTATATATGTTTTGTTACTAAAATCTACTATTTAACTTTTATTAATAATATAAGTGATCCACGATTTGGTTTTTTAATATCTTAATAATATATATTTTTTTTGCTTTTTAAAGTTAGTGTCGCGGTTTGGACGTCTCAATTTGAAAATACAAGCTCTGCGTACCAAAATTCACCATTAACAATAATGATGCCTGACAAAACCATATAGTTTCGTCAATTCGTCAATGACGAAACACGAGTTTCGTCAATTCGTCAACGGCAAAATAGTTTCGTCAGGCATCTACAATTAACAACTCTAAATTCTAACAAAGCTAAAAAATGTACTTCAAAAAATTTGAAAAATCTCAACATCATCCGCGACAGTTAATAACCCATAGATAAAAGTGTATATTTTGTTTAAAGGGATTATACATTTAGGCGTGAAAGACTTACAAATTAATTTAATGATTCATAATAATATAATACAAAATAATACTAAAATTTATTGTAATAAACAAATAGATAGAGCTTTTTTGCATTGTTCTCTAATATTCCAGAACTAAGTGAAGCTTTTTGCATTGCTCTTTAATATCCAAAAATAGGGAAAGTAAATGTGATTTATATTCATACATTTCTTCATAATCCCGGTTCAAACAGCTTTGTCCATGGAAAGACCAATCTTTTAGTTTGTCATGAAGATCTCTTAGTTGTTTAAGAGTGCCTGTTAGACGGGAAATTGTTGATTGAAGATCTAGGTGAACATATATGCCACCTCCAAGTGTTAAGCCGCCCGCGGCTGCTGCTGCTACGCCAGCTGTTGAGTATTTCTATTTACAGACGGAAGAATGTATTAAAACTTAAGAGAACAACGAAGGAAAGAAAAATGGTTATAAATGAATAATACCTCAAACAATGATTTACTAGATGAATCATTCTTCTCCTTTTTAGGACTACTAGAGCTTTTCGAATAAGCATATAACATGCCAGCACCAACGACAAGTGCACTAGAAATTTAAAGTATCATATTTAAAAAAACATGGCCTTGGAAATATGCAGCTAATTGATTCCTGATCGATGGTTTTTTTTTTTTTGAAACTTACCAAGCACCAACAGCTAATTTGGTAATTAAACTTTTGCTTTGACCTTCCAAATTTTTAAGTTGTTCGTCACATTTAATAGAAATATGTTTTACAAGTTCCAATAAACTAATCGTAACCTCACAAAATAATGATAAAAGTCCTATGTGATGTAATTGCCGGAGTGTTAGTAGATGTGTATTTAACAAGTGAAACTTGATTAACATTTTATATAGCATACATATATATATATTTAGTATACATCTCTTTACTAACACATAATGATAATACCTTTTAATTTTTTATATTGCTCTCGTAAAATATTATCATCTCCATTATCTAATCTAAGAATCTTTAAAATATCCGAAACACAACTTTCCATATTTAAAGTCATATTTCGAAATTTCGGTTTTTCTTCTTCAAAGATAGCTTTAACACTCTGATCAGCTGATTTAAGCTCTTGATAAGATTCATAAATTGAGTTGATAGTAACTTTAAGATTCCATAAAAAAATGACTAATCCAAGCTTGTAGTCTTTAGGCTGTATTTTTAGAAAAGAAAAAAAATGATATTGATCATATTAGGAAAACAAACCAAAAACAATTGAAACAACTATTGAACAAATACTGTTAAACCCCCAAAACCGATTTTGTAAAAATTGATAATCTGTTAAATCTGATAAAAAAAACAATTTTATAAGTCCGTTTCTACTATAAATCTAATCGTTTATAATGTTTTTAAACCTGATAACCCCTCAATGTTGATATATATATATATCAATTTCGGAAGATTTAACAGTAAACTAATTGTAAATTATAAAATATATACATAGGCACTAAGCTGACTATCGAAAATATTAAATTCTAAGGTTTTAATCATATAGCGAACCAAAGTATCTCTGATTTGATCAGGGCACAATATATCATCAAGCTCGTAATCATTTTTTATTCCTAAAAGACAATGTACCGAATCCAATTGACTAAAAAATTCAGATCTTATATCATCGATGGACACGCTCATATCTCGTCTTCGAAATGTGTCATAAAACAATTGATCAAAAATGTTATCAGGATAACTTTGACGTTTTAATTTCAGATCATCAGATAAGGATTTTATATCCGCTCTTAATTTTTCTTCATCGATTATTTGATAATTTGATTCGATTATTTGATCATTTGATTCGATTATTTGATCATTTGGAACACCTAAAGTGCCATCGTCTTGTGGAATCGTAGACAAAGGCGAATGATGGTCATTGATGGATGGAAATATTTCCTTTAATGTCATAGAGTCCGTCGCGAACCAATCTAAAAGACCATTTTCTGAAAATTGCTTGAGCTTTGAGGAGGCATTCTGTAAATATTGAATCAAGTCAAAATGTGTTTTGTCGGTGAAGTGAAATTTGACCTAAGTATCGTATTGAATTTGACAATAAGAATTAGTGCAAATATTTTATATTTTATATACTAAATAAATGTCGGGGATTGAGATTGGATTATGCTGAAATTTGAACCTATTTCCTTATATGAAAATTTAAAAAAATTTTTGGGTAGATTTTTTTAACCTTTTTTTTATTTTTTAGAGTTTGATTAGGAATTAGGTTAGAGATTATAATAAAAGAGCGTATGCGTATTTTATATTTCAAACCATGTCCCAAAACTTCAGCATCATTCGATTTTAGAATCATCTCCGACCGACAATAAATAACACTTTACCTTTGTTGATTCTCCAGTGTAATTAAATGTTTCGATACGGAAGTGTTTTTTACCTTGCGGAAAAATTGTATTATATAAAAGATTTTCATCGAGTGGTCCCTATTAATTTTAATAAGTTTGAAGTCAACAAACCGTTATTCAAGTATTATATTCATGGTTTTTTTTACATACATACCTTTAGCTTAAAGACTTTAAAAGAAGAAAATAATGAGCTTCCATTTTTTTTATGCGGTAAATTATTTTGTTCTACAAATACAATTTCTTTATCATGAATATACGCTAACGGTTGTGTCGACATGTTGGATATGCCTAAATTTCAGTAAAAAGGTTTGACAATTTTTGCATTCATTGTCGGTGGCCTTTAATTGTTAATTCCTTAAATTTACTACGTAAACTTGGATTAGAGTAACAATAATTCCTTATTTTGGAAGGCAGTGGACATGCGCACGTACGTACGTACGTACGCACGCACGCACATAATGTAGATGCCTTTCTTAATATATAAACTGGATTTATTATACGTACCGTATGTTTACCGAATAAAAGCAATTTTGGATCCAAAAATTTGAAAAAAAGTTATGTTTATTAGTAAAATTGGACCCGAATAGAAAAAAAACTTTTTTTTTTATACATTTTGGTAGCTTTTATTAGGTAACATACGGTATTAAAATATTTAAACCGAGATAGCTACTTGATATAAAATTCAGAAATAAGCACCACACCCTCTATTCTAATCCTTTAAATCTCGAATCAACGGGAATAACTTGAATAAAGATTTTGTTACTATTTTCACTAATCCGAGATTGAGAAAAGTAGGGCGGTGCTTATTTTCCGAGTTTTATGGTATATAATTGAAATTTAATCACCAATTTGACTAGTCCAATGGTTTTAATGCTGGCCAAATAGTGTATATATGTTATATACATATATAACATTATATACGTATTAGTATATATAAAATATTCTTTTGACCAGCAAATTTTTGGCTGTCAAATGATTGATACGTATACATGATAAACTAGAAAAACGACGATGCTTTGCACTTTAGAATTAAAATTTAAGATAGTATTTCAATTTCATAAATTACTATATATTACTCATAAGATTACATCTAGAATAAATTTATAAAGAAAGCAATTTAGTCTTTCTATTATTCTTTGTTGTGTAAACGTACGTTTAGCAAAATTGAAAAGGCTAGCAAATATATGAACCCTTTCTTATTTCGGTTTATTGAAGTATTAAACCTTAAGAATTGCAAAATCTAAAGGAAATACAAGCGAAAGCAAGTTCATCATTTTATTCCCAAGTACAGTATATTTAATAGGTTGAATTGGTACTTGGTTATGGTTCGATATAGGATAGTGCTGAACGCGTATAATTTTTTATCAAAATTGCCAGGAGGCATTATTCCTAGAGACGTAAACATTAGAATCTTAAGTGGTAACTCCTCCCAACAAAATATCACGGAAATATGGTACGTTTGCCGTATACAGTCAGTCAACACACGATAATCCGAAGCCTTTGGATTATTTATCAAATTAGAAAAAATTCGTATGATCGAAAATTCAGATAAAGTATATTTAACCGTGTACACGGACATTCAGATGTCCATATATTAGATTTTAGATTTTAGATTTTATATATCACGGACGAATCTTTGATCATCCGGACCTTATATAAATGACATCTGTATTTAGAGACAATTTGAATTCTACAGGTCTATAAAATTCGAAAACGTGGTTTTAAAAAATTTTTATTGAACGGATAACAATTCCAATTCCAGTTTAACTTCAATATTGGCTTGAGTCAATTGTACTTAAACACAAGTTACTAAAGTCGTTTTTGACAGTATTGGTAGAATATGAACATGGACATTTATGGACTATGTCCATATTTTTTTTATTGAATATAGTCACTTAGTCCGAATCAAATATGCTTGCCAAAATTTGAGTACAATTCCAAAATAGATTTTGGGAAAGGAGATATAAATATAAATGCATTTCAAAAGTTTTTTTTCGAACATTGACTATGTATTACACATATATGGACATTGTCACTATTAGTCAAATGTCCATATTTTCCCATGCCCAAATAAAAGTTTTTTTGGACACAGGCTTGGAGTTAAACGAAAAAATTGAAATCTCGAAGAATAAATAAAACGACATGAGATATCTGTAGCTTCAAATGCTGATACATAACACTGCATTTTACTAACCCGATATTTCATCTCTTGATCAGGAATGACAGATTATCAGGTTTGAATTATGGAAAGAACATGGTGAATCGATTTTTCCTGGATATAACAGGTAATCAGGATAAAAAACAATACTCCCATCCCCACTAAAACTATCCAGATGTTGATTCAATTTTAAAATACATTGTAATCAAAGTAGTAATTAGGCAACTAAGAATCAATGGCACTGATGAATATGCTGCACAATAAAAAAAATTTTTTACTAGAACCTTTCTCATGATATAAAATCATTAGAATTGCCAAGTACTAAACAGAATATATAATATATACTATATGAAATTATTTCATATATTTCTTTTTTGAACACTGCATTACCCACAATAATACCAATAACAATAAAAAGTATGGTTAAATTAACAAGTAAGTTAATGGTTGATTCCTATTAAATAAGTTTAAAAAAATTGAGAATATGAAGAACTTGAATAGTTATTATAGACTGCATTACAGTCTGGGATCTATTAGTAGACATAAAGACTCAAGAAATCAAGTATATGTGTAAAAAATTAGAAGAAATAGAAGATATATATATTAAGCAAAGAAACGGCAGAGCACTTTTAGTAATAAAATTTACTACAAAGCTAAAAGCAAAAGATATATTCTAGGTCTTTCTAATAGGTAATAGAAGACTGGCTAGGATATTAAAAGGAAAAGAAAATCACAAAAAAAGTGATTAAAAACACAAATTTGTAGCAAAATTAACTGAAATTACAGAAGGTCTCTCAGAAACCCTCCTTAAACATCTAAAAGACAGGAAAGCTAAAGTGGTTTATATTCCTAAAAGGAGAAGCGGATTTATAAAGCAAGTAGCAAAAGTAACTTTTGTTACAGAGAAAGAAATGAAAGAAGCACAGAATAAGTTAGTAAGATATAATAATTTACAACTCTATTAGGTATAAAGTAGACAAGAAAAAAACACAAAGAATGAGAGTAACTTAAAAGAGAAAAAATTATATTATAATAGCTCAAGATGAAGAAAACAAGCATCTAAAATGGAGGTGATATCATCAAGAAGAATATAGCAGAAAAATATACTTAGTAGATAGAAAAGAACAAATATCAAATAAAAAGAATAGTAGTCGAAAAGACGAAAGAAGATGGAGAAATAAACGAAAAAGCTCTAACAAAAAAAGAAAATCAAGAAGCTTAAGCTACAAATATTTCTCAAAAAAAAAGAGTCTAGCAGCAAGAATTGATAAATATTATATAATGTTGCAGGAGATTATGTGACATCTAGAAAAACTTAATGAGCAGCCAAAGGCTGCTTAATGCTTCTAAATTTTGAAACACTAGTTAAATTAAGGAAAAACAGTGAAGGATCTAAGCCTTTTCTGTAAACAAATCTACAAAAAAACATCAATCAAGAGAATATTATCTTTTGTCCTTTAGATAGCACAGGTAGCAGAAAAAGAAAAGAAGTTATGAATAGAGGAGGATTAATCTAAAGAAAAATAAAAATATTATATATCACAAGCAGAGGATATATTAACCAAACAAAGAAACTTAATATTATAACACATAACATTAATGGTATTAAAAGCAATATCACAAACTAAAATTAGCTCTTGAGTGAGCATCAGATAATAAAATAGATATTTTAAGTATTGCAGAAACAAACATTTTAAAAATTAAAGGAGAATAGCTATCGAATGCTCAATCTAAATATAGAAGTTTTTGAGCAAACTCAGATTGTAATAAGAAGAAAGACTCTAAAGTTAGTCTATTAGTAAATGAATAATGAAAAAAAATATATAGAAAAAGTAGACAGAATAAGTGAATACATAATTTTTATAAATTTAATATTTAAACAGCTAGAGATTATAATAATAATGCTCTATATATCACCAAATAATGAACAAGAAAAGAAAAAGGTTTATAAAATAATTGTTGAAAAATTTATTAATAAATCTCTTAAAGCACAATTGATAATTATGAGAAATTTTAATAGTATAGTAAATCTAGAGCTAGATAGAATGCAAAACATTAAGAAGAAAAAATTAAAGAGAAATGCTCTTCTAAATTGGCTGCAGAGACAAGAGTTTCAAGATATTTTTAGAGCAATGTATTTAAGGACCAAAAAATTCATATAGTTAAATGAAGAGACAAGTATAAGAATTAATCAGATTTAGATATCAGATGAATTATCTTATAGATTGTTTAATATAAAGATGCAAGAAATAGACATTTATACAAATAGTAATCATACAGCAATAATAACCAGAATTGACTTAAATCATCTAAATGCAATCTAAAGTGTAACAAAATATAGAAGAAAAGGATATATAAGAACAGTTTTTCTTTGCAAAAAGGCAACAAAAGAA